AAGTATGAAGACTATATACCCAACTGCCATCTGATTATAAATGACAATAAAATATTAATTCTACCCTTTTTAAAACTGTCTGCTGTCTGAATAGCTTTCAAAATAAATGAGAAATTGTCACTTAATGTCCTAATTATTTTCATGTATTTTCGATCGCTTTTTAGTAACCTTGCAGGCCTCTGATTATTTTATGATTTTTAAAATTATTATTACTGCACCATACATAATGTATTTCTAGAAAAATCTCTTTTTAGAGGCAATATAGGTAATAGAGTAGTATAATGTTAAAATTCTTTATTTTTTGACCCATATGAATAGAGAAAAGAGTGTTCTGTGTTCTAGCAAGTAAATCCACTATGCTGTGCTGTATCTGTTCGAAATTCTTCATGGTTGACTCACAAGGGTGTTCCCTTACCAGTGGGATTTTGATTCTCCTTGAGGTATCTAAGAAAGTCTAGTTTTAGAGGGCAAATGGAGGTTCCAGCATGAGTGGTAAAGAGTGTTAAAGTTAACTCATTATTTCATACAAAGAACATTGTTTCCTGTGTTCTAAACACAACAAGGGGCAAGGGCAATGCTTGAAGAAACAGTTTTCAAGTTTATATAAAAATAAATGTCATAGAATTAATCATATGCAAGGCATCATCCTTCTATTAATTTAATCTTTACAACAATCCTGTTAGATGTAAATACTATAAAACCTTCATTTACCAGTGAGGAAACAGGCAAAGGCTATTCCAACTAGCCAGTGGAGAAGCTGGGATTTCAACCAAAGAAGTTTGGTGCTAGAATGTGGGCTCCTAACTAGTACACCGCCTCTCAGTGTACCATTGAATACGTTGTAAAATGAGGGCCTCTTACCTGGGTTTCTTACCTCATCTAAAATTAGGGTGCTGACCTTAGATGATCTTCCAAAATATTAATGGAATGCCTATGATGTGCCAGGTACCATGCTAGGCCTGGGATATAACTGTGGATAAGATACCTTCTTACCCTCACACGGCTCACATTCTGGAAAGGAAGACAAACTCATGAAAGACTGTGGTGCATTCTCCAAGGCAAAACAAAAAACTGGGCACAGTAATGAGAATATCAGGGGGCCTGCTTTGGAGCAGGTGGCTGGGACAGGGTTCTGTGAGTTGACTGTAAGCTGAGACCTGATAGATGAAAGGACCCCAACCTGCTGCCAGCCGGGGAATCCAGAGAACCACATGCACAAAGGCCCCGCATCGAGAAAGAGCTTGGTACGTTGTAGAATGATCAGAGAAAGCGTGGAAGAAAGCAGGGTAGTGTGGCAGAGCCCAGTCACCCAAGGCCTCACTTGTTCTAGATGGGAGCCATTGTGCTCTGATGGTAGCAGTTCCTCTTGGCAGCTGTGTGGAAAGTGGAGCAAACTAAAAACCAGAAACTCAGTTAGGCTTTTACAGTTACCTAGACCAGAGATCATGGTGGCTGTGATTCGGGGACGGTGGGGAGGTAGTAGAGATGGAACAGAGTCCAAGGACTTGTGAGGATAGGACCCAAGAATGGAGCCCAGGTTTCTGGCTTGAGCCCCTGGGTGGTGGGATGTCATGTGATGAGTGAGATGAGGCTTGGAGGAAGCAGGTGGTGGTGATCAGGGCATCAGTCTCCAGATGTGTTAAGACAGGTGCTTCTAAGGTGTGCGTTCCAATGAAGATGCCATGCAGGCCACAGGGTACTAGTGTAGAGCTCAAAGGACAGGTCTGGACTGGGATAGGAA